AACTGAAAAATAACACTTTTCATGAGGTAAATATGGGATATTGCGTATGAAGATTTCACATTTCTCATTTGGATACAGCAGGTGGCAGGCTGCTTTGCAGCTCTTCACTAAGCCGAATCCTTTCTATACCAGGGGTAGAGAACCTTAGTACTTCAGCTCTTGTGGAACTACAAGTTTCATGAGGTATTGCAAGACTCTGACAGCCACAGGAATGACTTGCAGGGGTATGATGTGATTTGTAGCTTTAACACAGCTGGATTGCCAAGGTTGCCTATCTTTGTGCTATGTTGTGAATAGACCTAAACTGCAGGAGATATTATACATAAAGTCTGGATGAGGCAGACTTTAAGAAAGGACCCACAGCCCTCGCTCTCCTGTAACAAACATGGATCATATGGATCTTCTGTGCTGTGACAGAAGCACGGAGGATAAAGATGACCCAGAGATCATTAGCCTGCTGTCACTCCTTTATTGTCTAATCACTGCCTGGATGCAGAGAGGTGACCAAACTGTATTGCTTCTCTGTAGTATGGAAAAGTGAGGTTACCAACTAGGTTGCGTTATCTGGTAGAGTTGGGTAAATCTTACAACTGGCTTGACAACATAGCATTTCGTCTTTTGTGGGGTAAAACAGATCACTTATATGTATCTCAACTTTGTATTTAGCTCTTTGCTTGGCGTTTGGCTTTAAATTTTAACAAGCAAGACATATCATCTTTACACACATGTATGTCACTGTAGCAAAAACTTAATTCCCTCAGATCCACATACCGTGGCCATTTTTAGGAGCCAATTTAATGGCACGTTTTGCGAGCTATGTTTCCAGTTACACCATGTTGTCCAAGTAGCCTCATTATGGTCAGAGATGCCATATTACCAAAGTTACCATTCTTCCAAATTCGTTAGAGGCCTTTCACACGGGCTTTTTGATCAGGTCCGTCGGTTTTCCATGTGGGCCTGATTGGAAGCCCACTGTTTTGGTGCCCACACACCTTGCGATAGTCGTACAATAATCGCGGGAAATCCCACGATCGTACGATTATCGCAAGGTGTGTGGAAGGCGTGCGACCGTTTCTACTGTACGGTCGCACGACTTGTATTTCGAGCATGTTCGAACACCAGCCAAGAATTGTACGATTTTCGGCTGGTTTGTAGCATGATCGTAAGATAAATGCCGCACGGGCTGGTGTGCGCAAGCGCACACTGCCCGTTCAGCATTGCGGTCATTGGAAGCCCGCCCCTCAGCGGAGCGGGCCTGCGATTATCGCAAGTACGATCTGCCTGTCCAAGATGGACAGATCGTACGTTTTTTTAATTACCTTACAACCATCGCAAGACGAAAGTCTTGCGATGGTTGTAAGGTGTGTGGCCAGCTTTAGTCTATGGGCAGCTGTATCTAAATGGACAGATGTCTAGAAAACTAAATGGATCAGACTTCCATTTCGCTGGACCTGATTGTGCTGGATCAGATGTAGTCTGATTTAAACGGATACAAGTCCATTTACATCCGATTTCCCCATAGACCAGCATGAGACCGGTAATTTCAGTTTTTGCCTCCCTTTGAAAGATGGAGGAAAGATAGGGTAGGGGCTAAAGCAATCCATAATTTATACAAGAGTTTGTCTCTCGCGCTACATCTCTTTCCTTCTATCATTCCAGGGATCCATGCAGGAACTTGTGCAACAAGTATGATCCGTAATTTCAGCACTGAGGTCCTGAAATCAAATCACAATAAGGCATTGTATGCAGAGAGTTTGTACTTGTTGGCCTGGGTTTCCAGAGGTACATTGCTTTCCTGTCACAGCCAAAATATATACCGGCAGGTTAGATCACTTCCACCTCCACTGACCCCAAAATGTGCATTTATTTGCATTATATGTTCTCCTGAGTCCTGAGTGGTGTGAATGGTG